AAACTAGCTCTACAATGAATTTCATATAGTGTAACAATATGAAAACAAAACTAAGCTAAAGCTGAGTTTGTCACCTTCTGTATATGGGACCACTAGATCTTTAAGTGACTAGGCTCAGTCAGTTGTATTCTATGATTCATATAGGACTGCATTTTCCTCCACAATCATAACAGCACTGACCTACCATCTTCCTTATTAACTATCCTCACAGATTCAGTAAAAAAATTAATGTAAGGGCAGAAATAAAACTGAATATGATACTGTGTGTATGTTTTTTTTAATGTCTAGGTAATCAAGGAAGATTACTTTTGCATAGGGATGTCACCAAATTTAAAATGTGGGGAGAAAAATCAACCAAGGGTCAGAGTGCAATAATAATAACTTATAACATCTTCAAATAGCACTGGGATATACTCCTGTCTGCAACCCTGAAGAGCCACTGCTGGTTTGTGCAGATGGGAGGTAGAAAACCTGTTGCCCTCCAGATGTTTTGGATCACATCTCCCATTCACTATAATCAACACAGACATTAATCAGGGGATATGAAAGTAGTCCAAAACTTCCATAGGAAATTATGTTTCCTATCCAATTGTAGAGAATTATGATTTTTATATCCCTCATTTCCTTATTTTAAACTATCCATTTTTCGTTTTGGTATAACTCAATTGATATCTTGTTGTGCACCCATTTCCCAAATTAGATCTTTCCAAATATGTTGGACTTCAACTCGTATAATTCTCATCCAGCAGAGGACATATGGGAATTGAAATTGTCACATCTGGAAGACACCAGGATAGTTCTGCATAGGCAGAACTAAATGGACACCATACAAACATCTGCACAGTTGTGAAGCTATTTGTCTGGCTGCACTGGTACCATACATTTGGGATAGTTCAGCATGGGAAAAAAGATGCTGAATTATTGCCAAGCTAAAAATTTTCAGACAGTTCTTCTCTGACAAAGTTTAAACACTGAAATTACAACCTAAGCATTTCAATACTGCGCGACAGCCAGTTATTGCAAGAAATAAAAAACAGCATGTGGTCTGTTTAATGCTGTTAGAACAAACATGGCAGATATGAAACCCAGGGTTAAACAGTGAAGGACGTTATCCTTGTTAAAATAAATACTTTGAAGAAAAGCTGTAAATATGTTTACCAAGAACCTTCCAGTAGTTTTGGCAAAAGGAGTTGATGGTTGCTAAACTGAATTGTCTGCCAGCCAATCATATCAACGTTAATAATGGGATATGCAAATATCATTGGATAAATACTAGTACATAATTGCTTACAGTCAGATGAGGAAATTTTCAGTTTGATTTGAAATGACAAGAAGAAGAGTTTTCAAATATTTTTTTCCCAACATTGGAACTTTTTTTAAAAAAAGATTAAGATAAATTTCTTCTAGATTAGCTAAACTAAGACCTTTACAATGCCAGTTTGCCAATTAAAGATGTTTCAGTTTCAGTCCCCTTTCCAAAGTATAAAGATTGTGCATGAGTGTATGTGTTTATTTCTGACACGTTCCAATATTAAACAGTTTTAATGAATGTGATATATTACAGCAGGGGTGTCAAATTGCAGAAGCCACACCCACCCCAAATCCAGCAAGGGGAAAAAAGTCACGATATTTTGCGACATGTCACATGACAGGGCGAGTTTGACACTCCTGTATTACCCCTCAAAAACACAAATAGACACAAGTACTGTGCAATGCTGCATATGTGTGTGATATATATCAATTGATGTCTTGGATCGCAGCCACGGAAGCAGCAATATTTCTAATTTACTCATCTGAAGAACTGTATTTTCAAATAGCTCATTGCTAGAAATGACAGCTTTAAAAAGTCATTAATGAATTTAAATCTGCACTTCAATGCATTTCATTGCTATTAAAATTACTGTCCTAATGTCCTGTATTGACAGCAACAATGAAACAAATAGAATAAACCAAGGTAACAACAACAACAACAATAATAATAATAATAATAATAAGTAAGTTGAAAGGGACCTTGGAGATCATGTAGTCCAACACCCTGCTCAGGCAGGAAACCCTATACCAGGGGTGTCAAACTCGCAACGTCACGTGACATGTCACGATGTATCACAACTTTTTTTCATTGCCAGCAATGGGGTGGGCACAGTTTCACCATGATGCATCCAGCCGATGGTTCAGCAGTTTGACAACCCCTGGACAAATGGCTCTCCAGTCTGCTCTTAAAAACTTCCAGTGTTGGAGCATTCACAGCTTATGGAGGCACGTTGTTGCAATGATTAATTGTTCTAACTGTCAGAAAATTTCTCCTTAGTTCTAGTTGCTTCTCTTTTTGGTCAGTTTCCATCCATTGTTTCTTGTCCTGCCTTCAGGTGCTTCAGAGAATAGCTCGACTTCCTCTTCTTTGTGGCAACCCCTTTGGCACCTGAAGGCTACAGCGATACCTGCAATACTTTTTCAGACTTCTAAACCTACCTATCTTCATAGTTTCCGAAAGATGTCAGCTACATTCCTGCGATTTTAATGTGGAAATCACACACAAACACAGAGTATATGGCCAAAAGGAGATTTAACTTAATTTGAAATAAAAGAACCCCCCCCCCACTTAATCCCCCAAACCAAGGAAAACAATCAGAAATAGCCTAGTTTCCCGATGCCTGTAGCTATCACATCTGTAAAATGTTAAGTTGGACTCTGGGCATCAAAATTTTAGCTCCCCTGGCCTATGTAGAAACTGTTATAAAGTAGTCAGAAAGTCCGATAGGAATGACTCATGCTTTATTCTATGCAACAGTACTGCAGAAAGATATGTGATGTTTATCCACCTGCTAAACATTTTTAAGAGAACTCAAGGGAAACTTTTTCCCCACTTTCTAAATTCAGAGAGCCACTGAAGAATGCAAGTCTTGGAGATACTGTTTTGCTGCAAAGTGTCTATTCATCCCCTATTTTCTTTTAAAACATGATGGTCAGCTGCAAATCAAAGATTCCACTATTCTCCAAAGACTTATTTTTTTCTGTTTTGCAAAGTTCAGAGGCAAAAGAGTGAGCTTAGTTCAGTCCCTAGTGGTCAACTGCAGAATATAAACAATTTCCTAGACATGATTTTGCAGGACAGTTCTTTTCAGAAGGAAAAAAGGAAAGCAAAAGGAGCAGAGGAATCTTCCACCTTGCAGAAAAGTTTGTGAAAATCGGCTGCCAATGAATGAATGGATGAGTAGATTGCATCACATTTCAAGGTCTCCTTTACATGAAAGCCTCCTCTTGCTAAACTCAGATGGGCAGTTTCAAGATGCAGTTGACTTCTGTGGGAATAATTCCCTCTTATGACAAGAGAAAAATAATGCAGCCCGTTATATAAGAACGCATCTCATCAAAACAGGAGAAATGGAAGGTTTCCACCAGCAATTCTTGCAACTGCTACTATACATGGAAATGAACCATGCCACCTGACAGCCTTTCAAAAACAAAAGATCTTTGACAAGTCTATCTTTATGTGACTCAAAAGCAGTGGTAGGATTCAGCCGGTTCGCACTGCTTCAGCAGAACCAGTAGCTAGTTTTTTGTTGCCTAGGCTTATAATGGACTTCCGGAAGTGGCATCCACACAGAGAACTGGTTGTTCACATATTTGAATCCCACTACTGCTCAAAAGCACATGTTGTCATTTTCAAATGCTTCAAGGTTTGACTGGCCAAAGGGATGCCAGCTTTCTCTCTGTGGCTTCACTTGGCAGGACAAGAAGAAGTGAATGTAAATCTGTGGGACCAGATTTTGATTAAAAGTTTGGAATGATAAATTTTACAGGGTGACACAGACTGCACAGGCAGCTGGAGGCTTTCAAACAGAGCTAGAGAGCCTTCTTTCAGGGAGGTCCTTGTATGAGCAATAGGCTGGACTGGATGACTTCCAACTCACTTCCAATGCTAGCATTCTATGATAGATTAAGTAAATAGTTACGTTTGCTTTCTAAGAATGAAATTCTATGTGCTCTTCTCTAGGGGTAAATCCTATAAAACACTTTCGGAACCCATTTCTGAGAAAGCATCCTGAACATATAGTGCTGTGCATGCTTATTTTTTTAACATTCATTTCGGGTTTCAGTGAACACATGATGCACCACTTTGAGAAGTGGGATAATTAATGAATGAAGAGCGTGTGGAACACACAACACTGAGGAAACATCTCAGTGTTCATTTAGTTTCTTAGAACTGCCAGAGTGATTGCAAACCACAATGGGTCAGCCACAAGCCTGGTTCAAAATATGAGCAGTTCTTAAGATTGGGATTAATTATCATTTCTCCTGAGTTAAAACAAAATGCTGCTGATTTCCCTATAGTTCTACACAGATAGGCATGGCACTTCATTTCAGCCAAGCATTTCTATCAAAATACACATCTAACATTGCTAACATGCAGCACATTTTTGCTCAAATGAATCCAAAAATTAGGAGAGGAGTCCAACAGCTTATCTCTATGGTACAATGCACTAAACAGTTAATTTTACTTAAAACCATTCATTACTGAGTCAGCACAATGTCAAAGGTTGCTTCAGTGATAATGGTGTCTGCTAATCTTTAATGTTTGTTGTGTGCAAGTAGCTTTGTTTTTAATTTATTTTTTTTTAAAAAAAATCTTTATAACAAGAGCCTACAGACAAACAATACTGATCACAGGTATTTTAAATAACATGGAAATCATTACTAAAACACCTTGTAGAATGCACTTGTTAAACTACTTTTAACAGTCAGCACATCAAGATAGCCACCCGACCATTGATCATTAGTACCTCAGCTGAATGTCCCTGAATTTCTTTAAATCAGTTTAAAAGGAAAAACCAACAAGCCAACATCTGCCAATCCCTCATCGAACTTTTGTTGCCAGTTATTCATAGTGAACAATTTTCAGGGTGTTCTTTATTGATGAGGGTAGTGAACATAACATCTCCATTGGAATGGTACATCATGCAAAAATCAACGCAGGTGTCTGAACAATCTGAAGGACTTACCTTTTGCAGCCACTGAGTGTAATTTTCCATGACATGCTCCAGCCGTTGCAGTTTCTGGGAGGAGAAATCTGGCTCCATGTGAGGGGCATCCCTTTGCAGTGCATTGGTGTTGTATTGGTCAGAGGAAGTTTCACGACAGTTTCCATCCTGTTCAGGAAGTATGAACGTGTAGGTGCACTGGCCATGCTGAATCCGATTATACCTTCGTGCGTTGGACTCCGGAGCTCGGCGTGGACTAGTGCAGCTTATGTGCTTCAGAAGGGAAGCAAGAAACACAAACCACAAGAAAATGGTCATGTTACTTGCCCTCTTCTGCCCTGCTCTTGACACCTTGATCCAAACCTCCTCTCTTCTTCTTTTCCTTCCCTTTCTCCCCTCCTCTTTTTAATATTTGCTTTGCCTTTAAGGATTTCTTTAGGGGATAAAAAGATAAGGAAAAGGAAAGAAAGTTCAGAAAATAATAGTGAGCTTTTCTTTTTTTTAAAAAAAAAAAGATTATTTCTAATTCTCAATGCTTCCTTAGCTAAAGCAGGAGCAATTTATCTCATAGTAGCAGAGATTTATCGTTTCCTCTCTGTTATACTTCAGCATGCAGTCCCCTGGACTCAGCTGCCCAGGCATAGCCTCCGAGTCTTTCTTCTACTCTAGCTGCCGCTGAACTGCTATTTTGTCGGAGACCTCAGTGTGTTTTATTAAGGTTGTACATTCAAGCCAAGTTGGAAGCTGGCAGCCTTTCACAAGATGACTTGACAGGAATGTGTGTGAGAGTGTGCCTGGGATGCCTGATCCATTTGGCAAAGAGGGATCATCTTACATGCTGGCTCGAAACATGCCCTCAAACATGTAAGCCTGCTTAGCTCCTCCTGCACACAAGACGACTGAGAGCATTTCCCTAAGCTGAACAAGTCTGACAGTCCACCTTAATAGACTTCCTACTTGGAGACTGAACTCTTAAAATGTACTTAGAGGGAACCAAACTTGTTGTAATCCCTCCCCAGTAAACATTAACATACAGACCACTGCACATGGAAAATATCTGCTGCTATCCTAGAAGGGTTAGGAGACTGTGTGACTTTTTTCGGAAATGCTAAATTGGGGAGTGATCTGAGAAATGAAGGAATAAAGGCTGAGATTGCCAGTGTAGCAAGATTGTTTCTCTTACTTAAGGCATAGGAACTTTGCTATATCAAAGATGTCATCAAATGTGTTGAAACAATTCTTAAGAAAACGTCATTGTGACGTAATGTCTTTGCATGTTGTTAGATTGAAAATGTGCTTGCATATTTAACGGGGGACATGCAAGTGATAAGATTTTTTTTTCTCCATTGATCTTAAGATTTCAGATACTGAGACATTGATAACATGAACTTTATGGACAGGTATACTTTAAGCTTTGGAGATAGCAATTTCCCCTTGCATATTCTTTTGTCTGTGACTTCTTAAACAGGGAGAGAGGCTTAAAGCTACAATGACAGACCCCTAATTCCAATTTCAACCAACCTGCATTGCACAGGATTAAGAGCAAAAGATACTGCGTTTCCCACTCCATCGATTTAAAGAATTATCCAACCATTGCTGTGACAATATACTATAACTTCAACTTCTTAAATATTATATCAGTACTGTGATGGCTGGACAATATTACAAACCATGAGTGTGGATAGTCTCATACCTTAATTTATTTATTCTACATGTATCTAGGCTGGGAGCCCAAGGTAGAATAGAAAGTGTGTCCTAATTTTATCCTTTAGAACAATGTGTGCAAGTCATTTGGGCTGAGAGAAAGTAACCATCTCAAAACCCCATAATGAGCTTCGTGATCAGGTAGAAACAACTGGATCTTCCCTGTGCAAAGACACCTTCACCACCAGAATGCATTGGCTGTCAGTAGGGTGTACAACTAATGCTACAAAACTTATGGCTTGAATTAGGGTATGTTGTGTCTGCCACCAGAACTACTTACTTCTTATAAATAACCTGGTATCATGTAGCCAGTTTTGTGATGTCATGTCCAGTAGTAACCTCTACAGAAGTTTTTTTTCATGTCATAATTAAAGTTGTGTATACTAAAACAGTGTGACAGAACATATGGGCATGTTTCATGACATAACTAGTTTCATAGCATAACTATGGAGAATTTTCTCTCTTCAGAGAGAAAATTGGAGTATGATCTCAACAGAGATTACTATAATATAATATGCTTTCAATCAGATGATTTTAAGGAGTTGTTCAAACATGAAGAATGGCATTAATGCACGGTTCTTTATGCCACTGGTCTGCAGTGTTTCTAATCATATGAACAGATTCCTATGAAGATATAGTCAAGTAGACGGGTAGACACATGCAATCATTCCATCCAATGTGAAGAGATGCCTTGAGTGTAATGACTCAATTCATAATGTTTAGATTACATCAACTACTCCAGTACAGATGACCAGGATCTGCATGCTGGCAAAGTAAATTCATTGACGCTCCATATTCATTAAGCAAAGAAAAGTACAGATCATGAAGTTAATTTCAGTTCATCAAAAAAAGTGAAGCCATCAACTGTGATCCTGCTTCTCTCTCCACAAATTGACTCCACATTACTCACTTGCACAAAGGACTCTTCAACATTATTTCAGTGCTGCAAAGCAGCAAAGTTATTTTGCACAACTGGATCAACTATCAGTCAGAGAGTTGCCTGTGAATGTGTATTTTTTAGCAGCTTTCAAACTATACATTGGAAAATCCCAAATATTCCCCAGGAGTATGGCTGATGCAGCCTCTATGACTGGTATACATTTTCAGTAGAATTGTGTAAATGATCAAGGATGTCATTGCTGTTTAGTTTTGCTTTCTGCTTTTCTATTGTAACTACAGTATTAGATAAATGATACATAAATAATATGTATCTTTTCTAGTTTATTATCATAAAAAATAAGCAAAAACAACTACAATAAAAAAGGAGAGGAAATTGTGCCTGTTTTTCACCCACTACATTTAGGTCTCTTAGACATTAACCTGACACATATTTGACACAGTTCTACACCAGCTGGCATCACCACTTTTATAAAATTCTGTTGAGTGAAGCTTTATTCTAGAGTTTGGCAATTATCTTATGTTCTTGGATGCCATTGTGCAATCTCATCATGGTGCAGACATTCAAGACAAGCAAAAGTTGCCCCAGATCTCACCAGCTTGTTTAGTTTATTTTGTGAGATCTTGTACAAGATCTAGTTTTTTAATTGCTTATTGTTTTTAATTTGAATTCTGTTTGAAGGACTCATGAAACAGCTTCTGAGATTTGATGGCACAATGTGAAAAATAATTATTTATGCCTCTTCAGCTGAATAGATTTCTAGTTGTCCCTATCACTATGATTTCCCCATTGCATAAGTTTGTAACATTATTCAGATGTGTTGTGGTTATAGTTCCTTCTTTCAGGTGCCTGCACACTTATTCAAACTACACAATTCAGAATACCTGAAGAAAAATTTAAGTAGGCATCAACTTTGAGGCACTAAAGATAATCTTATTCTTCCAAGACATTAATCTGTTAATGTTGAACTTATATGCTTCATAGCAGCATTTTAAATTATCTGGCTGTTGTTTTGTCTATTTCATTGCATATTTTAATGATTATCTTTATTTATTCCCTATCTGACATATTAGTCAAAATGTGGTAATTTTTGTGATTTACATGTGTTATAAACTGCCTGGGACTTTGAAGGGTGGTGCGTACGTTTTTAAAGCAAAATAAATATAAATAATATTTCATAGAAGATTGCATGAGGAGAAAAATATAATTTCTTTGCTGAATGATTGTGGTACCAGAACCAATCAGCAAACCACCCTGAAGCTATCTTGGCCAATAACTGTCTCTCCTCACTTATCTTTTTTGTAGCAATGAAATTTGATCATGTAAAGAGGCTTAAGTGTATTCTCTTTCAGTGTCTGGAGGGAGTAATCAGATCTGATTAATGAGATTGTGGCTGAGGATCTACTCAATCTGTTTGGGTGGCCATCTACTCTAAAGTTTTCTGGAACATATAGTATTCTCCTGGATGCCACACCTTTCCAGAAAAGCAGGAAATATTGCTAATTAGGGATTTAGGGGTGGAAGAGATTGGACTTGCTTGTGCCAAGAGCTGCAGGCATGGTGTCTTGGAGGTAACTGTGAAATTGTATTAAGTGCATCATGATGGAATGACTTCTCATTCCCTTCATGGACAAGCAACTCAGGGTTCATAATTTTGAGCCTTCCCATGACAGATTTCCTCAGCTGCAGGAGTTGGAATAGCTTTCTTCAGGGATCAAATAAATTATAACATAGAAACTCATATATATGAAGAATGTATGCAGCAGGAAAGCCCTTTGGTTATTTGCTGGATCCAGACAATGATTTTTAAAAATTATTTTCTGAAACTAAACCAGAAGATCCTACAGTGTTTTAAGAATAATGTCACATTTTAAAGGGATAGATGCAGTGGAGAAGGAAATGCAATTTTTCATTTCCAAACTGATGGAAACCAAAGAAATAGTCCAATTGCCCACCTCATTTTTTGTCCAACTCCCCTAGAACTGGTGCCAAATCAAAAAGGAAAGACTACCATTTGGGCTGAAAAAATATGAGTCAATACTGATGATTAGATGACATCAGATGATTGTCAGCTGTTAATGACTGCATAGATAGATTTTCTCCAAATGACTCTGCCTCCACCTGGTCTTTCAGGTCTTCCAGCCATGCACCATTTGCCCTGTAACTTAGTCCGTTCACTTTGTTGCTAATCATCCCCTTTTTTTCTTTCTTTCCACCTTTCTCAGCATTAGAGCCTTCTTTTGGGGCGCTAGGTATTTGCATAATGTGTCCAAAGTATGATCATTTGAGCTTGGTCACTTGTGCCTGAAGTGAGAATTTTATGTTGATTTATTTGAGGGTGCATTTGTTTATTTTCTTGGTTGTCCACAGTATCCTCACAGTCATCTCTAAACCAAAGTTCACAAGTATTGATACTCTTCCACTCCTGATGCTTTAAAGTACAACTTTTCTTTCCTAAAGTATCATGGGAATACCATTACTTAAACTAGTTTGATCTTTGTAGCTATAGACACATCATGGCATCTGAATATCTTTTCCAAACCCTTCATAATTATTCTACCCAGTCTTGTAGCAGATTACTTGACTGCTTGCTCTTTTATTGTTGATGATTGATCCTAAAAAGCAGGAGCTATCTACCACTTCAATGAGCACTTCATGATCAATTCTAAGGCTGGTTGTTCTACATACAGTCATTACTTTGATTTTCTTTGTATTTAATTTTAATATTATTTTTTTACTAGGGTCCTTGATTTTTCTGTTATGGGCTTTGGGCTTTTGGTTACCAAATTTGGGCTGTTAAACTCCAAATGAGAGCCAGTTTTGTGGGTAAGGCACCAATCAGAAACTGGGAGCTTGTAATTTCTAGTCCCATGTCAGTCACAAAGTTAGTTAGGTGACCTTGGGCCAGCTACTCTCTCTCTCTCTCTCTCAGTTTTAGGAAGCAGGCAATGGCAAGACAGTTGCAAAAAACCTTACCACAAAAAATGCAGAGACTCAGAGCAGAATAAGAGAGATGGAGGGGACCTTGGAAGTCTTCTTGTCCAACCCTCTGCTCAAGCAAGAGACTGTATATCATTTCAGACAAATATTG